AACCCATCTGGGAATTTACCTTTCTCCAAATTTATGATTTGAATGCAACATTTCTCACAAATGCTCATTCTCCTTTCTTCTCTTATTTTGCTATCTCTGATCTTTCTCTGCCTGTAATTCACTTGATATTTTTTATTCTTTCTGAGAGATTAAGTTCATATAAAGAACCACTATTTTACCTAAGAATATGTATACACACATGTGTTTCTTAGTCTGCAAACAAATGTGTTTAACTGTAATGTTTAAGAATAACTTTATTAATAATGATCAAATTCCATAATTCCACTCTTTTTAAGTGGGTTAATGTGCCATATATTGTGGAAAACACAATTTGCATGAAATACAGACTTATTTCATGGAAGGCCTCAAAATCTTCTGATCAAAATCAAACAACTGGATTTTCATTACAATTATAGTTGCTGTTTGAGTTAATTAAACATACTACCCAAGACTCAATAAAAAATTTTAAACTTCAACTGTGTTTTTTGTATACAAATATCTCTAAATTTTATGAATCTAAATATTATATTATCTTGAAATTGAATCTACAGTTGATAAAATATATATTAGCCTAATTTTGCATAAGTGTTTTTACAAGTTTTCATGTGTCTAGTTGTTAAATGCTCACATTGAGTTCTATAAAACGGTCTAAAAATCATACAGGCAACTCATGGTTATACTTTCTTTCACGTAAAGTCAAGTAGTTCCATCACTCACATTTTTCTTAATTCATTAGGTCTTAGTTGCTCCAGGATCACTAAAATGTTGGTCAAGTTTCACATTGACACTGATATGTTATAGTCTGCAAATTTCCTCCTTAGAGTAATTTATATTTCCATTATTAAAGATAAACTTGCATTCCATCTATATCCAAAAGGAAGAAAAATAATGTTTGGTGGCATATATATTTGAAAATTATGATGAAATTTTTTCTTTTCTTGTGAAATAATATCTTGTCACTATAGACTATATTTCATATTTATGGTGTGCCTTTATTTCTTTGGGATTTTAAAATACTCTAAATAATTTGGGTTTTGCCTGGTTCTCCAGAATTGTAGAATATGACTGATAACTGCCTTTAGAATTCCTAATAGCTAAATTACAATTATTATGCAAAGCCCTACAATAGACAGTTATATGGATTGTTAAATGACTTTGCCTTTTTTGCAAACTATAATCATTTTCCTTTATTAGCTGAAGGATTTTATAATTTAAGGAAGATGAGAAACCTATAAGTCACGCTTTCAAATAAGGAACATGGATATTGCAAACATTAAATTTTCCCATAAAAATGTTAAGGCATCATTAAACTAGGTTCAGATTAATACAATTCAGTCAACTCTAGATAGATATCTCCCATAATAAGCTGAAACAATATCTAGTGATCTAAGATGTAAAACATTTTACTACAGCCAATTTATAAACCTATAAAACATACAGGTATCATTCAACCTCTTTATTAATAGCGCATGCCTTGTATTAAATCAAAACCATTTTAAAGACCCCTCCCCTTTGGCATTCCCTTCCTCAGCTGTTGCCCCTCATTATGTGTTATCTCACTGAAGCTCATCCAAAATGAATGACAGCATCTTTCTTACTAGAAGCTGCATAGGCAATTCCCGGGCTAGTGATACAGCTTGGCTAGCCCTGAGATTTATAGACACACTTGCTGTCCTCACACTACAATATTCTATGGCTTAATATTGATGCATTTGTTTCTCTGAAGGTATATGTGTTTTTTGCCCACTTTAGAAAAATGCAACTTATTACTTTTAAGGTTTTTCAAGTTGCTTTACAAGTAAATTATGTTCACAAGAAAACTGATATTGGGACAATATCATCTTCTAGACAATTTAGAGTCTGGTTGGAGAATTCATTTTATCACCTCATTTTCTGTAGTAAGAAAGCCAAATATTTCATATTGGCTGAGTTGCTGAGGATTTTAATGAATTATTTTTTCTGGTTGTCTATTGCCATGCAACAATTTCAAAATTTATAAATATATATATATATATATATATATATATATATATATATATATATTGCTCACAAATCTGTAGTTGGGGAAGGGTTCTGTGGAAGTAACTTACCTCTGTTCCACTTGGCATCAGCTGGAGTAGCCCAAAGGTTGTAGGCTGGAATCACCCAAAGATTTGCTTGTATAGCTACCTGGTGGTTGTGTGGTCAGTAACTCTGTATGCTACCTCCAGCCTGGTGCATTCAAGGTAGCTGGATTCGTACATGTTGACTCACAGCTTCCAAAGCAGAGTCACATAAGAGAGAGAAACAGATGGGAGCTCTGTCTCCTTTTCTAACCAGGCTTCATAAGTCATACACATTACTTCTACTTCAATCTGTTTGTTAATATGAGTCTGTAAAACTGATACACATCAATTGAAAGGGAATTGAAAAAACCTTTTGATGGGAGAAGTATCAAAAAATGTGTGTATGTGTTTTAAAACTGTTACACTGTCAAAGATGGAATTAATCTAATAATTTCAAATATCACTTAAAATAACTAGCTATTCATTTCTGAAATTACTGCATAAAAATTTTAATAATTCTTGTTCTTATTACTACATTCCATGTATTCCTTATGACAAGGTATGTCATACAAGGTTAATTTTCTAAAACACCAGAGTAAAATTAAAAATTTAAAACACATGGAAATATAAGTAGTATCTTTAACAGAAAAATTTTGATCTCTGACTTATTACAGGTACATATGCATAAATTAAACTATTATAATTTAAATACCATTTAACATTAGAGTTGCTACATTTAACATAGATAAATATGCTATTTTTAATAAAAAATTGTCCCCAAGTAATCTTTCTTTAACTGGAAAAATGATTCTAAGAAATGAAGACCAAATCTCTAAAAATGAGATGATCCAGAAGAAAAACAAAACAAAAACCAAATTAAACAACTGCTTGTACTGGTAAATATATGTATACATAGCCAATATTAAAACTATCAAAGATTAATAAAACGTTTATAAACAGTTGACCGTGAGTGCATCATTAAGTTTGCTAAGATCACTTTATACAATAGAAGTTTTTTTTCTTTCACCTAGAAATCTAACATAAATACTCCTAGTTGATAGGAAGCTGTCCTCACTTATACCTGATATGTTAGTGCCAGCCAGAAGAAAATTGTGCCTCATGACAGTCTTAGACAGAGATGGCCACAAAGTTTATTAACAGTTGGAAATTATCCCAGTTGGCAGAATTTCAAGTACACGTTGTTGCTAACTTGTAGGGTAACAAAAGTGACATGTAGGACACTATTTCTAGGCAGTGATTAATAGTTTTTTCAGTTTGTCAGAGATAGTAAAAGGTAAAGCTGGAATATCCATGACAATAAGTTTTAAAGGAAAGTATGTGAATGGATAGCTCTCAGAGGGATCATGAAATACACAGAGCTTTGGGTATCATGTTAATACCCAGAAGAGAGAGAACTTTACATCATATATCCACTTGACTCTTTTTTTGGCCATCTCTCCTACATAACTGACCCACGATAACAGTGGCCATGGTGGCAGGGATGGAAACAATGCATGGGTCCACAATATAGACTTTCCCTCAATGTGACTGATTAAGTACATCCCTTCTAGGCATCCAACCAGTGAGTTTCCAGAATAAAACCTCCACAGTGGTTATGGCACCATTTCTTTGGGGGCTAGGAGAGTAGATAACAAGCTGCAGGTTAAATGCTATTACCCAGATTTTTCTGTTCCAGGATCCTATGATCTGCATTGATATTGGACAGCACAGTGCAATGGTAGTATCCATTGATGTAAAACAATGCAGTGGATCTACTGTTAACTCTGACCCATAGAACGGAGTCCATACTAAGCTTCTCAGAGTTATCTCTGCCAATTCATCCATGCATCCTTACTTCCTGAGCAAAGAAAGTTCCCCTGAATTCTCCCAGGGATTGAAGTCAGATGGTGGGTTCTTGAGACTAATCTAATCTGTTAATCCTAAACTCCTCCTTCACATCTTTATAAACATTCTAAACCTATTTTGTACATTACCACATAAAGTTCTATTTTCCCACTACTTTCACTTTAGTGTATCCTCAAGGTCAGACTTCTAAGGAACAGCAAATGTATTTAGACCAGCTCTAGGTGTCACTTACAATGTTGCATTGTGACTCATGGTGAGTGATATCATGTCAGTACATTTTATTCTATCCAGTTTGATATTTTGTTTCAACCCTTTCCAAGGCCACTCCAACACTCTCTATTAAAGATCTTCATCTATTGTCTACCTTGGTCCCCAGTTTCTTGACAATGCTTATTAACCAAGTGTGTACATGTAGCATTGTTTGTTGTCATAATTGCCAGTTTCTGAGACCAAATTTTGAATGTCAGCAATTTGGCCACAATTAAGCCTTGGGTCTCAACTTGAAAGACATCTTGCATCAGAGGTCCACAAGGTCTGTGGCAGTGGTACTGCAGTCTAGGAGGTAGATGATTTTCTTCAGAAAGATACAGTAAATCGGGTAACCTGAGAAGAACCAAAATGTTTGTACCTAATCCACAAATACTCATTTCAGGGCAACAAAGTCCTTAATTATAAATTCCCCAATAAGTTTCTACTGCTCTCTGTCCTGTGATGTATGAGTTTCTAAATCTTTTGATCTAAAAAGGACCTTAGCTCTATAAATTAATATTTCTGTGATAATGACCCTTGCTAATATAGTATGTAACATGAAAATGAGGAAGGGTAGACTTTTTCACCATCAGAGCAACTATAAAATATATATACTCTTGGGGAAGGAATTTGATTAAGTCCTAAGTCATATTACAAAATATGCATAGTATTATGTAAGCTACTGAATTATTATAAAGATACTTTTAAAACAAATGCATGGAATTTTATTAAATAAGAATTTTCACAGATTGATAAATTAAGTTCTGTGACATATTAACTGTATGAATATAATGATCCATTTCTTTCAAAAGAACTATATAAAATAAAGGTAAAACAAACTATGTCATGCTTGTTTAATAAATTCATATAAACAGAGTTTATTTGGCAAGGCAAATTGAAGAGCTGTCCATCAGTAGGTTAGGGTGAGTACAATGCTATATGGTAAATTAAAGGTTCTGTGTGAAGCAGAGTAAACAGGATACAACAACGAAAAGTGCGAACTGCATGTTTGAAAACACAGCTGTGGTACATGTTCAATTATTTCATATCTCCAAGAGAATTCTTTTTACAAAAAAAAAAAATGCGTACAAAGGTTAGGTGAATTATCATGTGAATGGTTGAAACTCTCTGATATAACAAATCTCCCAGGATTACAGGTCTACTAAACAGATTTCCTTCTCTTTCCAAATACATTATTGATCAATTTGGCCATTGATTTAGATCCACTGGGTCGTCTCTTTTCTTTAAGCTTGACGTTTATCAGGATGTCCTTGATAATTCTGATGAACATCATTTCCACCTCCAGAGACTGCTCTGCGGCAGACAGTTCACAGAATTGGCATCGGTTATCCAGCGCCAGCTTTTGCCCTTCTTCCCAGCCAACCTCTCGCACATGACAAAGATCTCGTTTGTTGCCAACCAAAAATACTGCTGATTCCATGGCTCTATAATAAAGATACACAATTTTTTTGGCAAGATGGTTTTAACAACTTTTTTTAAACACATAGATTTATAGCCAGCGGATTATAAATTTTAAAAAATTGAGTGTGTATGTGTGTTACTTATGGTCATGTGTAGTTACACATAGCCCCATTTGCTTAAAATCATTTTAGATAGAATGTAGTAAATGACACAGAAGTAACAAGGCTCTTAAAGCCTAGGATTTGAAGTAACATGGACCTATTATTGAATTCTGGTGCTATCTGCCAACTAAGTATGATTGTTACCTTTCCCACTTTCAGTGTCCTTTAATGTAAAAATGTGGTACATATTCATCATGAAATACTATGCAGCCATTAAAAAGAATGAGAGCATGTCCTTTGCAGGGACATGGATGGACCCGGAGGCCATTATCCTTAGTAAACTGACACAAGAACAGAAAACCAAATACTACATGTTCTCACTGATAAGTGGACCTAAATGACAAGAACACATGGACACATAAAAGGGAAGAACACACACTGGGGCCTATTGGAAGGTTGAGGGTAAGAAGAAGGGGATCAGGAAAAATTAACTAATGGGTTCTAGTCTTCATACCTGAGTGATGAAATAATTTATACAACAAACTCACATGACACAAGTTTACCTATATAAAAAACCCGCACACCTACCCTTGAACCTAAATGTAAAGCTTTTAAAATGTCAAAATAATCCTCTTCACAAAGAAGTAATTAAAGCTCATGGAGATTATATACGTTAAATGATATGTATAAATATATCTAACATTGGCCCAGACAATGAAAGTTGCTTACTATTATTTTTCACGTTCCTTATCAATTGCAAGAGAAGAGCTAGAAAATGTCTCTTTACTTATAGAGTTATTGTAATTGAACAGTCAATTTAGATAAAATTTTCATAAGCAAAAATATTATTCGATACTTATTGCTGTTTTTGCTTAGCTAATATCCATAACATACTCTAGAGAAAATTGTATTACCTCGCAAACTTGCCCAACTCTCCTGTTTAAGAAAATGTGTCTCTGTTAAGATAAAATGTCTCTGCAACTATCAAAATATCCTCCTTGGTTATAGTGAAATAATATGAAAATAGGATTTGAATTGAAGAATATAGTAAAATCACTAGGCTTTAAATGGCATGGAATGCTGCAAAGATATCTAGTATAAGGAAAAAATGGGTGAACACAGGCAGTCTTCAATCTTATTGGCTCCGATTCCACTAAAAGTTGGTTTCATTCAAATGACAATGTGTGGTGAACTTTAAAAAATGTTACTAAGGTCTTTTTTTTTGTCTACTTTGTGAAATTATTGAAAAGGGTGAATGAGAAGGAATATATACAAATGTTTCGACAGTGGGGCACAAATGTCAGATATAATTTAATGAAAATGATATACTTTGCTTTCCTAGTTTTTTTCAGATTGAGAACTGAAAATATTCAAAGAATTATCTAACCAACAAATTAGAAAGATTTCCTGAAAAATGCCCAATATAAATTTTTATGCTTTCAATGTGTTCTTAAGTGTCCTTGAGTGATTACTTTGATTTGAGGAAGTATCAGAATTTTGTTCCTGTCCCATACCTACATCATGATGCTTAAACATAAGATATTTAATGATTAAAACAATGGATTCCTAAAATATCAGTCATATTATAGGATATACGAGCTATGAGGCACCTCAGTAAAATCACGTCTGTTTCTCCTCTCCTGCTGCCACCAGTTAAATTAGAAAAATGAGCGCTAGAGATTAAAGTGGCTTACTTAAGGCAAATCAAAGGAAAGCAAGAATGTACATCATGTAACTCCAGGGAAATACACCTTATCAAAGATTATCTCATGATTCCTGTATAGTGGACACTTAAAATAGATATAAAACGTACACATGCCATTTCTCAGTAATAATATTGTGCTTTTTTTACTTGCCAGATTAGAATGCTATTTAGATTTGAAGGACAAAATTGATTAAAAGCACAAGAATTTTTTACAATCAACACATAGAGCAAAAATAAATACTTTATGGAAAAGGTCAAAAAGACTGAAAAATGGGGAAAACTAAAGTGGAAAACTCAGATGCTTAAACTTTTATCTGTTAATGAAGCAACGGCTTACAGAACAACCATGTCTTCCTTCATAGTTCTTTGTGTCAAAACAACTAGGAATAAAGAATTGTTGATCAGCCCTTCATTGTAGGAGGTAAAATGGAGAAAAATGTATTCTCATATTTAGTATTTGTAAACAGTTTGATTATTCAGTCTATTTTGCTTTGATAGATTGAACAACCCAGTGACTAGAAATTGGATTTCACAGGATGCCAAATGTAATAAATCTGGATTTATTTAGTATCCTTAACAATTTTGTGAGAATGAAAAGGAAAGGTTGGAAAGCGAACTATCTTATATACAAAAGACCATTATTTTGCAAGTGAGTGTAATGTTAACAATAGAAGCTGTCTTGTAAAATAGCCATTTACTCAGGGCAAGTAACTGTTTATGTCAGGCAGGATATAAAGTATTCTCATCTTATTCCTTTTACTACATGTGTAACTCCTGTGGAATGGGAAGGTGAATTGTTAAGGGCTGTTAAATTTTGTAATTGGAAGGCTGTATTAAACTCTTCCTAATGATGCTTACAGCTATATGATGATTTACTAAAAAGGAAGGAGAAAGGAATGAAAAATACCTTACCTTTTACAATGACTAGTTTGTGGCGCCCGGATTCTGTAGATCAGTGCTTTCGCAAAAGCAAATGAAGACCTATCACTGATGTCATACACAATAACAAACCCATCTGCCCAGTGAAGCTCACTTGTGAGGGAGAATTTTGCTTTCTGTGTCTGAAAATAAATCAAGTACGTTAAAAGTGTTGGGATCTAATACAGTTAAATAATAGAGACCCATTTCAGCTGAAGGAGATATCAATAAGCTGAATACTAATATTTTCTAAAATATAGTTTCTTTGTTTCTCTCTTATTACTCTTTCTCCTTAATTAAAAGTGATTAAATATAAAACAGAACTATAATGAAGTTATTTTTATGTCATTTTATAAATTTTCTAGAAGACAACTCCACTTTTTCTGAAAATTTGATGAGCTACAATAATTGCCTTTTGAACTAAAATCCACATATTTGCTTTGAAAATGTATAATATTTAATCTATGTTAGTAAATGGAACACCTATTGATTTTTGGTACTGAATTTAAATCAACAAAAAACAAAAACATTATAGAGGTTTAGCTAAAATATTTAAGGTATATTTTTATTTACCGAAAACGATCTGTCTGATATAGCTGTTTTGAAACCCTGAATGGATGTTCTTTTTCTCTTATTTGTATAATCCCATTTTAACTGCTTTCACATATGAATGGACAAGGAGGTTTGCACTGAAAATCTATCTTACTTATTATGTTCTATTGACAACTGGTTAGTTTTAAGTGTAACTTAAGGAAAATATAAAGTGAATTGATAAGCTACTTAACATTAACTTCTGACAGCGCCACTGTGACCTGATAGAAATATGCTATAGAAACAGCCTAATGCTGCAATTTTAAAGATATTTGTGATATTATAATTTTTTACATGAACTTACAGAAGTGCAAGATAATGGAATTGACAACAAGAGAAAATAATCTCTTAAATTAAAATGAGAAGAAACTTTGGTTTTAACACTGCAACTTTTCACTTACCCCCATACAATCTTCAAATCATGATTAAAAAAAAAAAAATCAATCAGTTAATCAATGAAAAGACTGTTTTGTTTTACTTACTTGAGAACAAGGGTCATATATTTCTAGATTTAGTTGTTTTCTTTCCAAACACATATGCTTGTTATACACAGAGTCTGCAAAAGTATGCATATCCACTGTCAGTATGAAAATACTACAAATGTGAACTCATACCTGAATCACAGTCTGAAAAATTTAACCACTCATATTTTAGTGGAATCATATTGTCCCTTTTTTACACTACTGGTGACTGAAAGCATGTATTTGTTGTATTTGCTCAGATATGTTTCTTACAAATGAATCTCACCACTATCTCTATTTACATACATGCCTTTGTGCTCATACAGTTATATTCCATTCTATTGCTGTAGATGGAACATCTATGTTCCTATCTAAAGCAAATCCATTCCCTCTCAGCTAGGGATGATTTCTTCTCACCTACTGAAAGATATGGCCTCAGTAATTCTACTTTCCTCTCATATATCATATTTTTTCCTCTTTATTATATAAGCAGCCACATCTTACAAACCTGAAAAATTTCTTCTAACTTAAATGTAGTATGACTTAATCCTTAATTCCGTATCTTGATTTTTTTTTTTGCCTTATTGATACCATTAATGTAGTTGGTCACTCCTGCCTTCTAAAAGTTTCCTTTACATGACCTTCAAGGCAACGCTGTCTCCATTTTTTTTTTTAATACCTTGTTGGTCTGTCTTAATCTTTTTGTTCAGATCCCCCACCCACACTGTGTTCTCACATTTCAAACATGGATCGAGTTCATAGAGTTCTTCTTTACCTAGATTTCTTTTCAGATCTCTTCTAGTCTCAAGCCGACACATGCCAATTATTTCAGATGAACCCAACTTATGTCTGAAGACAACATCATCCCTGAACTCCCGACACAAATCACTTGCTTTTGGACATCTCCATTTAGATACTTGATAGATATCTCAACCTTAACACTCCTCAAGCTGAACCCCTGATATCCCTGCAAAGGCTGCATCTTCCACAATTTTCCATTTTGTTAGATGGCATATCCATAACTCCAGTTTCTCAGGTAAAAAACCTTAGGATTAACCTTGATCATTTATTTGTCTTATGTCACATATTTATTCCAAAATTTATGTATTCTAAAATTAATTTATTCTAAAATTCTTTTTTAGTCTACCTTCAAAGTATATCTTGAACTTGTCTGTATCTCATCATCTCCATTGCTAAGACTCTAGTCTAGGCCACCATCATTACTTGCCTAATTTATCGCAAAGCCTCCTAAGTCATCTTTCTGTTTTCATCCTTCCTCTAACTTTCTTCCTGTTTCTAGAGTATTCTTAACACAGAAGGAAAAGTGAACCTTGTAGCCAGATCATGTCACTTGTCTGGTCAAATTTCTTCAATGACTCCTCATTTCTCAGAGAGTTAGAGTTGGCTTCTTAACTCCTACCAGGTTACATTTAATGAAGTTTGTTATAGTTTAATGAAAGCTTAAATTATGTTTTCAGCCTGTTCCCTCTAAACTTTATAGATTTATTATTGACTCCAAACCACAATATTTCCTTCCAGTCATTTAAAATTATCCGCTCTCAAATCTCCAAAACCACCAGCAAGTGTTATCAATTCTCACATTTTTAGAATTGTATTATTTCCCCTTCTAGTTTTAATTTATAAAGAGGAGTTATTTTTGCTAGTTTGCCCTCACATAGTTCATGAGTTTTTGATCATTTGTCTTTTCAAAAATGCCTCTAGGTCTTTTATTTTTCATTGAGCTGTAACAGCCAGAATGTGTAAACATTTCATTTGTTTTTATAACTATACTATATCAAAGATTAAATTGAGGAGTTTTGTTGTTGCTATTGTTTTTTGGATGGCATATTGTTTTACGTTTGCTTTATTTTTTAGTTCTGGGACATCTTCTCATGCCCGAGTCCTAAATTGTATGTTACATTGACCTTTTTGACTGATGTCATTGACCTCACAAATGAAACAACAGGAATTTTTCTTTTTATGTTCTCAAATTTCTATAATCAGTTTTCAGGCTCTTGCCCTTAAATGTTCATAATGTCATATGAACTGAAATATCATGTTGAATTCATATAGGAAAAAACACAATGTAATACATTAAATCTATTTTCGGAGATACTCTAATTATGCTACTTCATGATTGAATGCTAAAGATTTTTGTTTCTCATGGAAAAATGAACTTGCAATCATAAATTCCTCTTATTCTAAATAAGTAATAATCAACAAAAACATTCCTCTTTTTCCCAATTTTTATATTTTCTGTAATCTACCATTTTTATATTTTTAAAAAAGAAAAAATATTCATGCCCTCATCTCATTCCTTCAATCAGATAAAATGTTAGTACCATTATATTGTTTAATTGGTAAGCCAAAAATACACTAAAAATTATTGCAAAATTTCTCACTTTTTGTGTTGTACTATTTTCCATACATTATGCTAATTCTAGTCAAAAAAAACAGAAATTTATAGAAAAATTTGTGAAATAATATTAAAATTATATCATAATGCCCTGATCTGTGTTTTAGAATTTTTCTACATTTATGTAAATGACTTAGATAATAATGATATAATCTTTAATCAAGGCATAATTTTCCTATTGTTTTCTTATGGTTTTACAATAAAAATAAACTTTATTCTATTGTTAATTGTGGTTTTAGTGTTAATTTTCTCTTGTTTTTTAAAGAATGTGATTTAATTTCTTACTTGTTTTACACCTTACAAAAAAATACTCATAGTTACATGTTCTACAATATTTTGAAGAGAGGATCTTAGTTTACTGTTTTTCCACTTCCAGACTTTGAAGCCAACTGACTTTCTAATACATGTTACTTAACATCAAATTGGGTGAATTTTACCATAAGACAACATTTAATTCAAGCTCCTATTTTGGCAGTTCTAATCAGAATATGTGAATAAATAAATAGCTTTATATACGTAAAAATGATAAAGTCTATCAAAATGCTTCTCTGTTCTTAAGTGAGATTTAATTATAATGTTAAAAATTTTAAGGTAAAAATGTCTAGAGTGGTGACTTACCAAAATTAGAAGCATATTCTCCAATGAATCGCTTAGTAAGAAACCTCACTGTAAGGGCTGCAAAGCAAACAATCTAGATTTAAGGCTGTTATATTTTACGATCCAGATAATTTGTTTATGTGCATAATGTTTTAGTTATTAGATCAAAAACATGCAAAAATTAATAGAAACTAAAATTTTATTAAATTCTGTTCTAAATAGTAGTTAACAATATTTCCATGATACAATCAAATGACTAGAAAGCTAGAAAGAAAGGGATCTTAAAGTTCTGTGCATCTAAATCACTATGCAGTTCATTCATTACCACAAAAACATAAGGCCACTTACCTTTTGTAACAGAAACAGATTTCTCATTATATTAGAGATGCAAGAATTTGACCATCTGTTTATTTTCTATCAAATTCAATCTGACTTCAAGGAACGATATGTAAGAGTCACAAGGACACTGCCAAGTATTTGCAGTTATTTAAAGACTTAGGGACCTACAAATCCAGGAAATAGAAAAAGAATCTCTGGTATCCATTCATCATGTCGCAGCTCCTGCGTTTGGCCAGTTAGGATGTTATGTATGATTCTTTAGGCTCAAATGGCTCTATTGGTGGCATCCTGCCATTTTAATGTGGCCAAAACCAAAGTAAAACACAACAAAACAAAAGCATGACTTCCACAGTTAAAGCACATATGGCTCAGTTCCAGGACATCCACCACGCCATGCCCCCTCAAATTTCTTTTATCTCAGTAATGCTACATTTAAAATAGTGTCCACAAATCTCCAAACAACTCTCTACTCTAGTTTCAGAGCAGATGAGTTCTATCAAGATCGCTGTTTGGCAAACTAGTGGATATGAGGGCAGGTGTGTTGAAGTGAGATGTGAGTGGGATAGTGATGTAGCGATTTCCTGCTATTCCTATGAATTGCAAACAACAGTAGAACAATATGCAAATTAACATTTCACATAGTTATCTTGCTGTACCTGCTTACATATTCTACAAACATGCAATTACTTGCCTATAAAAGTAAAAACTCCTAGTGAAAAATAATGTACATATCCCAGTGAGATAATGTTATTATAGATGTATTTTCATATATATATATATATAATATATATATATATATTAAAAATACATGGTTAATGGTTAACATGTCAATGTTTCTCACTCTTTCTACACTCAGTTATACCAAAGAAGACATCACCACTCACCAGATTTGCCTGTTCCTTCACCACCCAAGACAGCAAGCTTCACATCATTCATCTTGCTTTTCTGCTTCTTGGTCAGTCCTGTCTTCTGGAACTATGCTGCCCTGTGACAAACATTTTTTTAACTTCCTTTTTATTGCTACTCTCACTTCTCTAAGAACAACTCCACCCCATATTTCTACCAGCCAACAATAACTTTAAAAATATTTCCCTAGAGTAGTTTTCAATTCAGTTTTAATATAACATTTTTTAAAAAACTGGAGTTACTGTTTAGGCAAAAAAGGCTTATTAAGACAATATGTATATATTTATAACAGAACCTTAGCTTACAATTCTCTATTTTTGTGTACCTGGAATCTACTTTCTTTTAGTGCCTAAACATAGTATAATTTCTTTTCATTTAAAAAATTTTTAGAGGAAGGGTAAACATTTCTGTATTTACTTTGATTGGATGGGTTTGTTTGTTGTATTAGCAACAGAGCCTGTATCTGCTAGGGTTTCTTCTGTGAAAAAAAAGGTGGGGAATCCCTTAATTCAATCACAAAAAAAGAGAATAATTATCTAGGCTTTAATGTTAAGGTTTGACACCAATGCAGATAAATAGCTAGACCATGTTTGTGAATTATATGAGGTTCTCAAGAAACAAATGAACACTAAGAGTTTTAACTTCTCCAATGTCTTATTTAATAAGCAATTTCTCCTTTAAAACATGTTTTGTCTCCAAGCATGGTGGCTTATAACTGGAATTCCAGCACTTTGGGAGGCCGAGGTGGGCGGATCATGAGGTCAGGAGTTCAAGACCAGCCTCACCAACATGGTGAAATCCCATCTGTACTAAAAATACAAAAATCAGCTGAGCCTGGTGGTGCATGCCTGTAATCTCAGCTACTCAGGAGGCTGAGGCAGGAGAATCACTTGAATCCGGGAGGCGGAGGTTGCAGTGACCCGAGATCACGCCACTGAACTCCAGCCTGAGTAAGAGAGTGAGACTCCATCTTAAGAAAAAAAAAAAAAAAGTTTTGTCCATAGGCAACATTAACATTTCTGGAGAAAAATAAAACAATTAATGTCATTTGTTAGAAAAGAAATAAACATAAACTTGTCATATTTCCTTATGTAGAACATTGAAATTAGAAAAGAGAAAAGAGAAAGGAAAGGAAATTGGGAAGTAGTATTCTGCAATAGTTCATTCCTGCTGTATAAGAAAGAGGCAAATTTAATATGCAAAACGATGCGTTTTTCATACTTTTTATCAGATTTCCCTACTACTCCAAGTACCGCATTAATTTCATCTTTTATCAGCAATTTAGTTATGTAAAAATTCTACAGCAAATAAAAGAAGTCTACATGTGTGAACTAAATTTTGAGGCCCAAGTTAAAAAGTTTCATTTCCAGACTAAGTTGATCACAGGAGTAATAATTTGCTTTTTAAAAAAATGCATTTTTATTCAACAAATACTTCCTACTTGCAAGTATATTTTAAAACTATGTTAGGCTTAACAATCTACTCTTGTTAAATCATGAACTTCCTGCTTTGACAGAGTCTACACTCATCTGTTAGAGAAAATTGAAACAATTAAAATTACAGTAAATAGGCTTGTTGCTAAAATTGGACTGGGGAAAGCAGAACACGTGGATATAAAGGTCTTCAAAAAGTAGATAAATCTTAAAACATGAGTAAGAACCACAGAGAGAGTGAAGAAAAAGTGATTTTGTGATTAAGGAGACGTGTCTATTCCAAAAGAAGAAACAGACTCCATAAAGAAAAAGGAGCAAGAGAGTATGACAAGTTCTGGGATCAGCAGGTAACAGCTGAACCAAATTACATTTTTTCTTTATTACAAATTTGAAAGAAATAGATATGATCCCTTTAATTTCTGCAATTATATAAATAGTAACAAGAATGACTGTTTTTCAAAGAAAATTTGCCAGCCGATTAATTACACCATGGAATTAAATTTTTTTTCTCTATTTGGAGAAATGCTATTCTTGTCTTCTTAAGAAACTTTTTATGTTTTTAGATGTTGAGTTCCTAGGAAGGCAAGATTTAACATCATAACATACATGGTATCGAAAACAGCATGTACATTTTTGTTATCAATGTACAGGCATTCTTTTCTCATGTCCTCTTCCTACCTACTTTCACTTGGATTCCAAAAGAGGCTCTAACAAGAAAGCAGCCGGGCAGCGGAATAGAGCGAAGTTGTAACTGGAAGAATGAAAGCATGAATATATTTTCTTAAGAACCAGAAGCACCATTTTTTTTCTTTAGGTGATAAGTACTAAATATCAATCAATATTCTAATAGCCACATTATTATATTATTAAAAGTTGCTTACAGCTCTCTAAAGAAATATTCATTCACATCCAAAATCAAATCATTTACTCCTATATTTATTCATTTATTTATGAGGTAGGTACCATGACTAACTTCTAACGTAAGAGAAATATAGGCTTTTTCAAATAGAAAAACAGAAACAAAGGAAAAAAGAAAAAAGAAAGAAAGAAAGAATAAGAGATGAAGGAAAGAAGGGAGGGAGGAGGGGAGGGAAAGAGGAAGGAAGGAGTGGGGAGGGAGGGGCAGGGATGGGGAGAAAGGAAGGAAGGGAGGAAAGAAAAGGAAGAGAAAGGAAGGAAAGGAAATCGGGGCAAGGGGGATTAGAATGCAAATAATATAACTGAAATTGCAAATAATATAACTGAAATTGCAAATAATATAACTGAAATTGCAAATAATATAACTGAAATTAAATGTACTTTTAATTTTTATGTAAAGAATTCTTTAATGCCTACTGCGGATTATAAAATAAACCCTGGAGTCTGGGTTTTAGAGTATCCATCACCTGAATAGTAATACATTGTCCCCAATAGATAATTTTTCAGCCCTTACCCCTCTCCTGCCCTCCACCGTTTGGAGTTTCCCATATTCTCTGTTTCACTCTGTATTTCCAGGTGTACACATTATTTACCTCCCACTTATAAGTGAAAACATGCAGTATTTGAGTTACTCTTTCTGAATTATTTAACTTAAGATAACTGCCTCCAGTTACATCCATGTTGCTGCAGAAGACATGATTTTATTCCTTTATATGGTCAAGTAGCATTCCATGGTGGGTGCATGTGCATGTTTGTATACATCTATACACATATGTATGGATGCACACACACATACACATCTATACATATGTGTATAGATACATGTGTATGTGTGTATATGTACACATGATATGTACATATATGTGTGTATGTCTATACATACCTGTATAGATGTGCATATATATGTGTACAGATGTATATGCTATATATGTGTGTATATATAGACATATATACACATAGAGGCACCATAAAATACTACTTATATATACATATATTTACACACACACACACATATGTATACCATATATATACGCACACATACACACAACATGTATATATAAAATATAGAAAATACGGGGTATGTCTGTGTGTATGTATATATATAGAAAGAGATTATATATATATATATACACATACATATATAGATAATATATATACATATATATATATGGGGGGTGTGTGTGTATATATATGTACATACACACCATATTTTCTTTACCCAGTCAAATTTCAAATTTGATCAAACATTAAGTGTTGATTATGTTAGTCTCATGGGATACTTACCAAGGTGTGTTTATTTGTAGGTTTATTCACAACAAATAAAAACTTACACACAAGTAGATTATTATAATCAAAATTATTAGTTTCACCTCTAATTATAAGTTACTAAAGGAGTTCAGCTAGAGATTTATCACAAATCCTCCAAAGTCTCTTCCAGGGAAATTATCCACATCTGGACATTTACCTCACCAAATGATGAAGCTATTCAACCCAATATTATTTTGGCTACAATATCTGTTTCATATAACTAATAATTGCTTATTTCAACAATGTCCTACCAGTTCATCATCACTTTAAACTATACATACAACATCAGGTTGCCCATGTAGAGTACTTTTGTATGTGATTATTTTTGATGGATTGTTTTTCATCCGAACAAGTATGTGAAACTGATAATTATGGAACGAATACACTTCCCACATTGTTTTCTCTGTGAAGACTATTTTTAGGGCCTATTCCGATTTTAGTAATAGATGTCGCTTACAGTTACTTGCAAGTCTTACTTCAAAGTTGACACATCATCTCTGAATACTGAACGCCACTCTACGGTGGAAGCTGCAACTGATTTATATTTTCTTTTCTTTTCTCTCTCCTCTCCTCCCCATCACCCTCTTTTCCTTCTTTCCCCTCCCCTTCTTTCTGTGGCTATTTCTATCTCTATGTCTTTACCTCTTTCTTTCTCCCTCTTTTTTTCCTTATTTTCTTTCCCTTTTCCTTTCCTCACTTTTTACGGGGTTCTTTTAGGAGCTCTTCTGTATCAGTGGTATTCTAAAATTTCACAGTGATAGCCCTTGTGGCAAGTCGCTTTTTTCATTAATTGTACCAGTGCTCACTTTGCCTCCTAAATGTGGAGATTCCTGCTTTTCAGTTCTGGGAAATTTTGTTGTATTATCCCCTTACCAATTTATTCAAATCTGTCTTCCACATTCCGTATGTCAGAAACTCTTATGTTAGTTGAACCTACAAGGTTGATCCCCAATGATTCTCTTTCTTTCCTATTTCACCTTTGTGGAGTACAAATATGTGTGGAAGATATATATATATATATATCTTCCTTTTTATTGCTACTCTCAATTCTCTAAGAACAACTCCACCCCATATTGCTACCAGCCAACCTTCTGGAATCTGAAAGACAGTGGCCTCCTTCTCACAGCTCCACTAGACAGTGTCCCAGGGGAGACTCTGTGTGGGGGCTCCATCCCCAAATTTTCCTTCTGCTTACTCTGGTAGAGGTTCTCCATGAGAGATTTGCCCTTGCAGCAAACTTCTACCTGGACATCCAGGTATTTCCACAAAGAGGTTCCCAAACCTCAACTATTGTCTTCTGCATACCCACAGGCCCAACACCACATGGAAGCTGCCAAGGGGCTTGCATCTTCTGAAGCCATGGTCCTGAATTGTGCCTTGGCCCCTTTTAATATGGCTGGACCTGGAGCAGCTGGGACACAAGG